CTAGAAATTGTTGACTCGTTTTCACCAGAAAAGGATTGATGAAAACAAGAAAAATTTGTGTGGCATTACTCATAGCTTTATGAGGTCGTCCATGGACAGAGGAGGTAGCTGTAAAGACGGTAGTGATCTCTTAGTTAAGAGGCAAAGAGATACGCCCGGTATGAAAAGCGGAATCGATGGAAATGATGCAGATAAGAATAATCATAGCTTCTTAGAAGATGGATATTCCAACTCAATGATGGCTCAAGGATCTAGCGTCCCTGTTAAAATTTCCTTACGCCCAATCAAAATACCTGATATCAAACGTTTGTCACCTTATACCACATGGGTTTTTCTGGATAGGTATGTTGACATTAACGTCGCAAGAATACTTGAACGTAAACTCAAGCCCTTGCGGTGTATCTCAACATTTAAATTACTCTTAAAATGATGCAGGAATCAAAGAATGACTGAAGACCAGTCTGTAGTGGGTCGAAGGAGAATTTATTATGATCAAACTGGCGGGGAAGCACTCATTTGCAGTGATAGTGAAGAGGAGGCGATTGACGAGGAAGATGAAAAAAGAGAGTTTGTCGAGCCTGAAGATTTTATTATTCGGTTGGCTATATGAATAAATAATATAGCATCAGACTAATCATGCATCATTGCTGCGCACTTGTATTTTGGTCTTTTAGTGTGAACCGCTTGTCTGCTATTTTCATTGTTATGCTTTTTCGTTCTCACTTATATTCTTAAACTAAGTTGCCCTTCGTTTTTTCAGCATGACCCTTCAGCAACTAGGTCTTTCAGACTCTGTCTTGGAGGAACTGGCAAATTTCTTGTCCAGAAATTCTAGTGAAATCAAGGTATCAGCAACAATCTCTCAGTATATTACCCGCATGAACTATCAAATGTAGAACTTCAAATGTAGGATTTGTCAACAGAGTGAGTGACGCATCCCGTTTAAGGAAGTCCAATTAGTTTTGTTCCTGCCCTTTCCCAATTGGCCTTTTGCAGAGATATGAACACCGAACATCTTATACAGGCAAGACATGAAGTGCTTATGAAGGAAAAAGAAGTATCTGAGAGTGGCGATAATCAAGCAGAGAGCTCCCTTCTCAACAAAGATATGGAAGGAGCATTAGATTCTTTCGATAACCTGTTCTGCCGTAGATGCCTTGTTAGTCCATTTGATTTCTCAGGCTAAATTCTCGAAGGGTCATTACTTGATGTTCTAGCAACAATTGACACATTTTTACTTTGTTATGCGTCTATGCAGGTATTTGATTGCCGGCTGCACGGGTGTTCACAAGATCTTATATTTCCTGTGAGTTAGTGCCGACTGATATATCTTATTATAACTTTATTGTTACTTATTTTTATGTTGTGGACTTTTAGGCTGAGAAACCAGCTCCATGGACTCCTCTTGTAGATGAAAATCTAACCTGTGGTGCAAACTGCTATAAAACGGTAATTTTTTTTGTTTTTTACTTAGCTAAGCTGATCTCCTAGAAAAACTGACTTGACAAAAAGAATTGTTTTCTCAGCTTCTCAAGTCTGAAAGAATTCCGGGATATGGCACCATTGAAGATAAAACTGGCACTTCATCAGATGGTGCGGGAACTAAGACCACATATAAGAAGGTCTCCAGCAAACTTAATATGAGAAAACCAAAGACCATCCCTAGTGAAAGTGCATCGTCTAATGAAAAGTGCACGCCAGAAACAAGTGACTCAGAGAACGGAGTTCAGCAGGATACCAATTCTGATAAAGTTGCATCATCGCCAAAGGTGAAAGCTAGTGGTAAACGGGGAGGTCGTAAGAGAAGCAACAACCGAGTCACTGAGCGGGCTCCTCATAGGACTCAAAAGAGGCAAAAGAAGGCAGAGGCCTCAGATACTGATTCCATTGCCAGTGGAAGTCGTTCATCAAGCGATGCAAAACATAAAGAAAATGAAGATGCTACTTCCTCTTCTCAGAAACATGTAAAATCTGGTAACTCGGGGAAGTCAAGAAAGAATGACACTCCTGTAGAAGACTCCAAGAATTCTGTGAAGGACGACAATCCTGCTTCTGAGCTTGATGTGCGGTGTAGCGATGAAAGTTTAGGGAAAGAAGAGTTTGTGGGTGAAAATTTATATCGAGGAGGATTGACTGAAACTAAATTGTGGAGACCGCTTGAGAAAAGCCTTTTCCAAAAAGGTGTTGAGATTTTTGGAATGAATAGGTGAGTAATAGATGCATTCAGCTACTGTTCTGCTTCATGGTTTTTAATCTGTGTGATACAATCATATCAATTCCTTGTTTCTGAGCAGCTGCTTGATTGCTAGAAACCTTTTGAGTGGTTTCAAGTCATGTTGGGAGGTCTTCCAATACATGACTTGCCCGGAAAATAAAGCTTCTTACTTTGGAGGTGATGCACTGAATCCCGATGGCTCTTCCAAGTTCGATATCAATGGAAATTTGGTATAATAATATTCCTTTTTGTATACCTATTCCTAAAATAATGGAGTTATTTCTCTTTAGAACTAATCCTATAGTATCTGGATTAACCAGGCCAATAACCAAGTGAGGAGAAGGTCAAGATTTCTACGTAGAAGAGGCAAAGTGCGTCGCTTGAAGTATACTTGGAAGTCTGCTGCATATCATTCAATTAGGAAAAGAACTACTGAGAAGAAAGACCAGCCGTGTCGTCAGTTTAATCCATGCAACTGCAAAACTGCTTGCGGGAAGGAATGTACTTGTTTGTTAACTGGGACTTGCTGTGAGAAGTACTGCGGGTAATGTAATCTAGGAATATCCTCACCTGTATATTTTAGCCTCAAATCTCATTACCAACAAAATTATTTTCTGTGTAGTTGCCCAAAGAGCTGCAAGAATAGGTTTAGAGGTTGTCATTGTGCCAAAAGTCAGTGTCGAAGCCGTCAATGTCCATGCTTTGCTGCAGATCGGGAATGCGATCCGGATGTTTGTAGGAACTGCTGGGTTATGTAAGTCTATTGGCGATGCAAATGTTTGGGTTGTGTACATTGGTCACTTAGAAAAGGATCAAGAACACTGCTACTGTTTTCGTTCTAATAATTCCAGATGCACTAAACTGTAATCTGAATGAATTTTAATATGCAGTGGCGGGGATGGTACCCTCGGGGTTCCTAACCAAAGAGGTGATAACTATGAGTGCAGGAATATGAAATTACTCCTAAAACAACAACAAAGGGTAAATACTTAGCTTTCTTAACTCTATATCTATTGCTCTGCAATCGCATAACAAGAAGGAATCATACAATGATTAAAGATGAAATGGCTAAGTTTGCTCCTCTTATTTTTGGTTAATTTCAGGTTTTACTTGGAAGATCTGATGTTTCTGGTTGGGGAGCTTTTTTAAAGGTAAAATAGATGCAAGATTTGTTAAGTAGAATCGAAGTCCTTTGAATATGGAACTATTTTTAAAGTTTGGACTTGCCTTAAGAACAAATCTTATTCCTTCTTACAGAACAGCGTAAGCAAACATGAATACCTAGGGGAATACACAGGAGAGCTGATCTCACACAAGGAAGCAGATAAACGCGGGAAGATATATGATCGAGAGAACTCATCTTTTCTCTTCAATCTAAACGACCAGGCACGTCGCATCTCACACATGTTCCCACTCTATATCTCTAGCTTGTCTCCAAATTCAGTTCTACCATAAACCATTAACGTTTTTGGATTTTCTGCAGTTTGTGCTAGATGCTTACAGGAAAGGAGACAAACTGAAATTCGCCAACCATTCGCCTGAACCGAACTGTTACGCAAAGGTAAAATGCTAAAAATGTTAAAGTCACGGTTTTCGCATGATGGGTCAAAATCTTACTGGAGACTCTGTTCTGTATATGTTTAAGGTCATTATGGTTGCTGGAGATCACAGGGTGGGGATTTTCGCTAAGGAGAGGATAATGGCTGGAGAGGAACTGTTTTATGATTACCGGTATGAGCCAGATCGAGCTCCGGCTTGGGCTAGAAAACCTGAAGCTTCGGGTTCTAAGAAAGATGAGAATGTTGCACCTTCTGTTGGTAGACCCAAGAAGCTTGCTTAGTTGCAGCAGCCAACACTGAACCCACACACAAAAACAGAAAAAACCAATTTTTTTTTTCCCACAGGTGGAAGAACACAATTAATGCATGCATTTTGCCGAGGCTAATGAAAAGTTATTTTCGTTGGGTTCAAATTCCTTTTTTTTTTATTGAATGATACGAGACTTGAGTTTTTTTCTTTCGTTCTATTTTGTTGTTGCTTAGGATGCAAGAAATGAAAGTAATATACATTCTGTATTGATTTGTATCATTGTATTGAGAATTGGTTAGGGCTTGAAAATTACAGATGAGAAGCTCAAACCACTCCATGGAAGCTTGGTGAGCTTTGAGCTGACATCAACGTCTTGTTCCTTGTTCTTTAATTAGTTTATTCCTTTCGTTCCACCAAAAATGCTCTTTTAAGGACTAAGAGTCGTCATCTTAGAAGGCCAGATTTTGTTTTCGACCCATGCCAGATTTTGTCTTCTTTGTTGTGGGGGAATTCCTTATGGTGAACTTCAAATGGCTCAAAACAAAGCTTTGTTTGGTTTTAATGTTGTGTCTTTGCAAATCCCTTCTTTATCAGTTTGTAGGCTTAGAGAAGATTAGTGTGATCTATTTGTATTTCATTAATGGTCTCTGTTCTGATATGTTATCCTTTCTGATATGTTATCCTTTCTCAATCAATATTATCAATATAATTCCAGTGAAAAAAAAAAG